TGTTAAAGGAGACATAAATGCATGTTTGTCTTTCTCCTCCTCCCCTCTTCTCATTCCTTTCTATCCCCTCCGCCCCCACTGTCTTGAGTAAGATTTCACAGTGGTTAAACTCATGGAAGAGAAGACTCGGACCCAAAGGAAATACATTGCAGGATGGTAAGGGAAAGCTTGTAAACACCTGCTTATAACGAGAGGCTGCAAGTTTTACCACTTTCTGATATTCGGGCACAAAGCTCACTTTGACCTGCCAGTGGATTTAAATGATCTCTGAGTTCTCTGCTTTCCCCTAGTCAGCCCACTGGGCCTGGTGTAAGCTTACCTAGTTGAGCTGATGCAGCCACTAGGAGCTCAAAACTGCAGTGTTCTCTTAGAAATCAAAACCTAGTAAATTAAAGAGATTTTTTAAAAAGATTTTATGTATTTATTTGACAGAGATCACAAGTAGGCAGAGAGGCAGACAGAGAGAGAGGGGGGGAAGCAGACTCCCCGCCGAGCAGAGAGCCTGATGCGGGCTCCATCCCAGGACCCTGAGATCATGACCTGAGCCAAAGGCAGAGGCTTAACCCACTGAGCCACCCAGGTGCCCCAAATTAAAGAGATTTTATATTGCAAAACAGACAAGGGATAATTGAATGGCAAGATAGAATTTAACTTGAAAACTATTTTGCAACATGTTCATTCAATATCAAACTTCTCTAAAGCATTTAATTATTTTATAACTTAGAAAAGCTTCAGATTTACCTCAAAGAACTCAAAAGGTAGAGTTCTCGTTGAAATTCAAATAAAAAATTACCATAAAACATGGCTGAAACTGTTGAATTAGGGTAAGGAATCATTTGCCAAAAAAAAGATAATTTGCAAACAAACTTCCCCTCAGGGATGTGTCTTCTGAGTAAAGTGAGTTCTCCTTGTGAAATAGACCCTAAGACCCTAAAATAGACCCTTTGAGCTTGTCTAGAGAGAGGACGGGACCATTTCAGAAAGGAAATGCCTGGGATTCTGTTTGAAGTCACAATGCTTGGGGTTAAGATAACAAACAGCCTCTGGCTTCTTTCAGGGCAACAAAACAAACAGATTGTCTCCAGGGTTGTCAATCCCGAGAATGGTTTGGTAGACCTGAGCCAGGAGAAGGGGAACTGGGGCAAATACGTTTTTAATGTTTGCCTGTGGTCAGGATGGGTTTCTGGTGTTTTGTTTTTGTTTTTCCTAGTTTACTATTTCTGAAAAATATGAAATACTATTTATTTCTTTTGTGAACTCTTTTGGGTTTGGCTCCCACTGAGGGGGTGGCGGGGGTAGAAAACAGCGTTATCAGAAAATTCTTGGCTGGAGTTGCATGTAGAGAGAGCTGTGAGGAGAGCCAAGGAAAGGAGGGCGGTTGAAATAATCCTGTGGAGCTATTAAGTTTGACAACTCTGCCCCTCCCAGTGGGACAATGGTACGTGGATTGACATGAGCTTAGTGCGTGCTCCTCATTGTTCCAAATTGCTCGTGTAAGCTCTTTAAAAGGATCAGGTTATGGCACTCACTCCCCCAAACTGGTTGCTGTCAGAGACAGGGCAATCATGAGAAGTGACTGAGATTCACCTGGGTGCTGGGCAAAGAGCAGTTCAGACAGAAAAAATCAAGTTGGCTCTCAGAGTCCCTGCGCAGCGGCAGACTGGGGCAAGTGGAGTCATTACGGCTCTTAACAAGTAATGTGTAGCAAACTAGGAACAATTTCCTAAAAAAGCCAAGGCTGAGAATCCGCTAATGAATGGGGCCAGTACTTCCATCACGATCTGATTAAGAAGAGACAAGCGGTGCTTAATGATAGAAGCTTTATCTCTCCCGTTTTATTTATGCGGGTTTCTGTGGAGGCAAATCTCTTTAGGTTCCTGCAGTCTTAAAAATCTATGCCTAAAGCTCTGAGTCAATTGATGTCCAAGCAAGTGATGGCAAGTTACTGTTTCCTAAGAGTATACTCTGAAGGAAAAGGCATCTCCTTGAGGAACGCCTCAGAACGCCTGAATTTATGACAAAGGGAAAATCTGTAACTGAAGCGTCTGGGGTGGGCTGATGAGGAAGCCTCTTGAGTTGACCTGGCAATGGAGGGGTTAATCTCCGTCTGAAGCCCGGCTGAGGGGGCTTGACTTGGTGCTGAGGGTCCTCTGTTTCCGAGGAAATGAGCAGGTTAAAGATGATCTTCCTGGAAGCCGCGTATATTAATACACGAGCAACTTCATCCTCTTGTCTTTCCCTTCCTAATTTACAACCATCTGTGACTGGTTTATAGGAGTTTTCAAAAGATGTGATTAGCTTTACTTGCGGGAAACTTGTAAAGGGTTTCAGGGTAATGATGTGTCAGCTATGAACTCATTCAGCTAATCTGAAGAGAACTTTTTAGAGCAGGAAGGAGCCAGATTCAGAGGTGCTGACTTGTGAAACACCACGGCGAGCGCATTTGTGGCTAGAAGAGCCAGGATTCTAGTTTCCTAATCATGTAAAGGGAAGGAGGTAATGATGAGCAAAAGGGAAGAAACTGAACAACAAAACACTCACTCATTTGCACCATCCACGCCGGAGGTTGTCCTCGCTCATCAGAATCAGGGAGGTATTCGAGATGGTTGCATAAAGAGCTTCCAGGGAACGTGGCTGGCAGCCTGTGACTCGGGGATACGAGGTGGAAGGAAGGGGCTGACACGTTTGACTAGAAGCCACATGAGCGCAACACAGTGGGGGGAGAGCAGCGAAGGGCTACACGTGAAATTCACTGCCAGGTTATTTCATTAGTACATTGACTTACACATCGTGGCTGTGTAGCGTCTCTTCAATGCAAGGCATTCTGGGACCACAGTCACAACAGATCTGTCCTCACCAGCATGCAACCTAGTGTTCCAGTTGTGACTGGGGTTGCAGAACAAATTATCCTGCACTTAGTGGTGAAAGACAACCTTCTATGATGCTCGTGGGTTACACGAATCAGGAATTCACTCAGGGCATAGAGGGGCGGCTTGTCTCTGCGTCGTGGGGTCTGGGAGCCTCAGTTGGAAGATTCCAAGACTAGCGGCTGGAAACATCTGCAGTTTGTTCACTCATTTGTCTGATGGTTGGTGGTGGCTGTCAGCTGAAACACTAGTTGGGGCCTGGGCCAGAATTTCTGCATTAGTCTCTTCGTGTGGTCTGCACTTGCTCACCGCATGTGGTTGGGTTCCAAAGCTGAGTGCCAAAGAGGAAGAGCCAGGCAGAAGCTGTCTCTTTGTGACCTTGCGTTGGAAGTCACGTAGATCACATGGATTCCACTGTGCTCCACTGGTCAGGACCATCACAGACCTTGCAGGAATTCCAAGAGAGGGAGCATCAACCCCAGATAGCAGTGTAGGAATGCCAATCACAATGAAGGAAAGGCAGATAGATAAATGTATGGTTGTGTGTATAGGGACATGTATAAAATCATCTGTCACAGTAAGAGTGAGAAAGACTACTGCAGCATCAAGTAAAAAATACTGTTTGTGAGGATTTTGTAAGTCATGGCCCAAAGAACCCTACTATTGGAAATATACTAATAAAGCCAAGAAACACCTGAGCACTACATTTCCCAAGTGTGAATCGTGCATGTCACTTTTGTTATTATTGTTACCATCTGTACAATGTTCATTTTTCTATAATTGACCAACTCTTTTAAAACTCACATTTGTTTTAAAAGCAAACTAGATATTACTACTGAAAATTGTATTTTTTACTATAATTTGTTTACCATAAAACCAAAGCAACCTTAAATATAATCAAAATAAAACTGAACAGTTATTAGATATGTTGCTTTCCAATGAAGATTATGAGACCAAAGCAAGCCCTCTTTGTCAGAAATGTTAGCAGGTGTTTGAAAGATAGTGAATCATAGTCCTACAATACTGAGGCTCTCCCTGGGCCTTAATCTGAAAGACTGAAAGAGAAGTAAAAACAAATGATCCCTAGTGAGAAAGTCAGTGATATTTAAGGCCTAACATCCTTTAAAGAATTTTTGATATTATAATCCTATTTTGTTTATATGTTTATATTTTTATTATTCCAGATCATTCCATGTATATATTCCATATATATATATATATATATATATATATATATATATATACACACACACACACATATATATATATATATATGGCTAAGCTTTCGTCTTACGTCTGCCAAATGGCTGGGATATATGCGGAAGACCAGCACTTGGCACAGAGCTGACACCTGTTAATGAATGAGTGGATCTGTGACCTGCCATCTGTCACAGGCTGGGTACCCAGCACCTCTGATTTGTTTCCTTAACCCATCCCTGAAAGATCTAGTGAGCATTAATAGGCCTTGATGAGTTGGCTTCTAGCTCAGGTTTAGCTACCCCATTATCTTATTACCACTCTTCATGTACTGGTGGAATTAACTTCTTGCTTCCCCACTGTGGCATAATACCTAGACTTTATGGGAACACCCCCCCCAGGCCAACTTGCCCTCTTATGGTATGTAGGGATCTAAATCCAGTAGGTATCTTAGTATGTAGGTATCTAAATCCAACAACATGCATTCCAAAAATAATTAGCACCTGCCAGGGCCCATGTTGCACTAGACGATGGAGATCTCAGAGGGTAACAAGAAATGGACACTTTCTTGGAGTACAGAGAAAGGCCACTGGGGGGCAGCTGTCTTACCCCTAAAATTTAATTAATTGCTTACAATAGCAGTGTCTTCTTGTTGAAGTATTGGTCAGAAAACACTACTTCCTGGGGATTTTTTTTTTCCAGTAGAGATGATCACTTGAGAATAAATAAAATTTTCAAGGTCTTCTCCATCTAGACTTTTCTTCTGGTTTTCAGGGGTACGGAAAAAGGTCTGTAGAGGTTAGAAGGAACACAGCCAGAAACTTATTCCAGGGATTCCAGCCTGTAGCCTTGACCACACATGCTAGGACTTCTAACAATAGTGCCTTTCTAGACATGGGGCTGGCATTAATAGACCTTTTCCTGCTTGCTTCATAGTCGGCTACGGTGAAGCTGTCGAAACCAGTGGCTCTGTGGACTCAACAGGATGTCTGCAAGTGGCTGAAGAAACATTGTCCGAATCAGTATCAGATCTACAGTGAGTCATTCAGACAGCATGACATTACTGGTAAAGTATGCAGCATCCAAAATATTTGATTTTGTCTTCCTCTCCCCATCACAGTGGCCTTTCCCACACCCTTACAGTGAAATGCATCTCCCTGCTGAAATTTTCTGGCGTGGGTTTTCTTTAAAAGGGGGGATGGATTCCAGATCCATGCGAGCTATGCTGCTTAATAAACACAAGCAATTAGAGAAGCACAGATTCCCAGTGTCCAGGACAAGTACATGGGAATTGGCATAAGGGGTTGGAGAACTCTGGAGAATGATGTGTGTAACAATCCTAGAGAAAAGAAGGGGAGAAAGTCTTTCAAATTAGCCAGGTTGTAGGATCAGGATTAGATGTTCTAAGTAGGAAAGATTTCAAAATGGGAAAATTCTGGAGTGAATATGATCATGCTTGCTTACTGCCCCTGGGAGGAATGCCTTCAAAACAAAAATGAGGATTCCATTCAGATGCAAGTTTGAATATTATATGTGAAGGTCAAGAAGCACTTAGAAGCAGAAACTATGACAGTATAACGAACTGCAAAAGCCCTTAGGATCATGCGTCTCAGTGGGAGAAGAGGGTAGGTAAAAAGGAGTGGATGGGGCCACCATGGAAGCCCATCGCAGTCAGAGGGTCTTCCCCAGACCTCGCCTGGCCTCCCGCCCTGAGGGTGTGTGGGGATACGGCAGCATTCCTCTCCTACCCTCTCTCCCCCTTCACAAGTACTGAACGTTTGGAATAAAGAACACACTTTGTGCACCAACACTGTGCTTCAGAGGAAAAACATGTTCAGAAGTCCTGATTCAAGTCTAGACTCTTCCCTTTTTCTAAGAGAACTCTATTCTTCTAGTGGGAAAGTGACTTGCTCTTGAGTAGCCCAGCCCTGTGGATCTAGCCGCTTTCCCAGCTGGGTGGTTTTCAAAGTGTGTTCCTTGGAGCCCTTGGGTACACTAAAGACTGTCAAAGGGACAAGAGAGGGTGTGTGCTTTCAGTTGAGATGGGTGTGCCAACTAAAGGAGGTCCCTTTACGTGTGTTCGACATATTCGAATTGTGCAAAAAAGCTTCATTTGGAAAAGGAGGTTCTAATATAAAAGAACGGTGAGTGAGGTTACCCTAGATTCCTGCTGATCAAATTGGTAATGTTTTAAAACGTAAGGAACACACTCAAGTATAGCTCAAGATGAGTTAACAGAGAGTGAAATCCTCCTAACTTAAGTATTAAAATTGTACTTAATGCATTTTTGCTTCCCCTATTGCCGACTGGAATAATGGCTTTTTAGATGAAATTCCTAAAATTGTGAAGGCAGTGTCGGAATGTTGTTTAGATTCCAAGTATCTAATTTTTTTTTTTCTTAGTCTCTCCTTTAAGAATATAAGAAAATCCCATCCAGGGTCAGTTATTCCACCCCTAAAAGCAATCAATCAGTTAGTCACCATTTGTCTGATTATGGTCGCTTTCATCCGATAATGTGTGCTTAATGTTTCTTAATACCTGTGTGATAGAATAATGGCAAAGGCTTTTCGTGATCTTATTTGAAAGTAGTATTATCTTTTATTATGAGCGGGGAATTGTGAGATGCCCTTGAGGGAAGGGTAGGCATTTATAGTGGTTTGTAGAGGAGGAGCGTTCCCTCCCTTAGAAATAGAAGTCTCATACTTCATGGCTTGGAGTCCATGGTATACCACTTCCCAAGGCTTTGGGCTACGTGACATGAAGAAGGAGGATGTGGGCTGAGATACAGGTTTCGAACAGCTGTCCTATGGCTTTGGTGGCCCATTGGGTCTCCAGGCAACACCACAGATACAGTCAATCTGAAACTTCTTGGAATCTTGGGCATGCTGCTTAAGCTGGATGAGCTACTCAGCCTCACTCCCCATTTCCAAAACAAAGATAATTACCTGTCTTCGGGAGTTGTGAAGATTAAAATGAAATAACATTAAGTGACCCACTAAGTTGGCCATTGATTGGCACCGTCTACCTGTGAGCATTTTGCTATTCTTGTCAAGACTCATCTGGAGGCATCTAAAAACATACTATTCGTTCTAAGGGCAGCCTGTTTTCAGGCAAGAAGAGAAAGTAGAAAAGCATTGGGGGCTTAGGGAACAGAGAGAAGGAATTCACACGAACATCCAGCCTACACCTTTTTGACCTTTCACTATCTGAGGCTTCAGAAAACCACTCTCTTCCCCTGCTCTCTGCCCCCACTGCCTCTCCAAGAATGAAAGTGAAATACTCAGGTGGTCACAAGTGCCAAATGGCCAGAAAATAGGACTGGAGTCAACCTGCAGTTCCCAGCCCCAGGGCAGTGGAAGCTGGCAGGGGTCTCCGTACCCTTGGAGGCTAGGCTGTGAAAAACAGAGCAAAGAGGTTTGTGAACAATTAAGACCTGCGGTGACAGGCCAACTTCACCAGGCCTGGTAAATAGTGGAGAGCTGAGAGTGGTGACAAGTGCCAGGTCGAAGCCCCGAGCTGCAGCTTTGCCGTGCAATTTCTTGAAGGTTCCTGGTGCCCTTCAGCTTTCTTTATCTGCAGAAGAGAGATGGTACCTGCCTTCTAGCCTCGCTGTGAAAGTAGTCCATGGTCCTAGGAAACCGGTGTTGAATGTCTGCTGCTGCTGATCTCCTAAGTGGACCAGTTTCCGATCTCTGTGAAAACAAACACCACATATAGACAACACATATAAACAGTTGACTTCATCTATCTTTGTTATCCTGAGAACTGGAAAGTGAACACCTAGGTGGGGTGGAATGGGGTGGTGCTGTGGTGGGTAGTCTGGGCTGGTAAGTATCCCGTGCTTATCTCCAAGCTTGAAAAGAAGATGTTCAGTGTCTCTTCCTTATGCTTAAATTCTCTTGAGTGTTGCTGTTCATTTCTTTTTCTCAAAGCAAGATCTCCAGTATCGTGCTCATCAAGCAAGTGTGTTTGTTACAGTGTAACCTATAAGCAATCCCTTAACTTAGAGGCAGGTGGTAGAGCCATGGCAAATAAAAAGGACATATTAAATGGAAAGAAGAAGGGAAAAGGGGCTTTCACAGACCTGAGTCGCATCCTCCTTGCTCGTCCTCCACCCCCAACCTTTGACAAGTAATAGCTGTACAACATCGCAGGAGCTGGTTTTTCATCAATGAAATGAGAATAATTATTTTAAAGGGTGTTGGGAGAATTAAATGGAAGGATGCCCATGAAGGGCCTAGCTTAGTGCCTGATACATAGTGGACATTTATCCATTTAGCAGATATTTATGGAGAATCTACGCAGTACTGGGTTTGGGGAATACAGCAATAAATAAGACGGTCAGTGATCTGTGCAGGGAAAAAATTGTGCTTCCGTGAGAAATTATGCATCGTCAGTAACAGACCATTTGGGGTTATCTAATTCGACAGTGCTGTTTTTACAACTCGGTAAATTGTAGCTAACTGATAGCAATACAAAATAATCCTCGTTGTAGATATGTAAATTCTGTCCCATGGAGATTCAGTTGGCTTTCCTAGCCACTGTGGAAAAGGTGAGTTTTGCCTGCCATTTATGCATTCATTTTACCCTCTGCGATTGATAAGTGTGTACTGTTAGGATTCTCATTCATAGTATCTTTCTCCTGGTTGTAAGAGCTTACTGGTTTCTTCACTATCGAGTTAAAAAAAAAAATCTTAAATGTGTTCATTTCTGTATTTGATGAGAGTACAGATTTAAACCTTTTTTTGAAAATTCCTGTTTTTACTTCAGTAGTGTTTTTTTTTTTAATGTTTTTGTCCTCAAGTCCACTATATTAATATTTTTTATGCCTTTCCTTGGAGGACATTAAATTCTACACAAACATTCCCCCCATGTTCTCTGAAGTCTAAGAAACATTAAGATATGTTTCAGTATGTGAGCATTCAAAACCTCTTGCAAGTTTCCTGTTGGAATTTGAAAATTTCCTCGTGTCCAGAAGGCACCTGCTATCTTGTGGCAGTTGTGTTTAATCAGAAGAGAAGCTACTCGTGTTACCTCCCTGCAGAAGAGCTCTTAAAAGGCATAAGATGGTTAGAACACCTGAGAGGCATTAGGATAGATAGATTTCAATCATCAGATTAGGCTTGAAGGAAAGAAATTTGTCTGTTTTCCTGTGCTTGCAAGATTCTCTCTCCAGTTTTCTGAGGCCGGCTCGGAATGTTGATGAGGAAGCTCTGCTGGGGCCAGGTGTAAGCTCACAGGCAACTTTCAGATTCTCTTTTATGCACCGTTAAGAATATTTTCAGGTTGGAGGCGATTTCAGCCCCTGGCTCTGCCTTGTGTTGTTCCCGTGGCTGCTAAAGTGAGTTTACCTCCTTCAGCATCAAGTTCTCCATCTGGAAAGGGTTCTTTCCCCTGCCAACTTGAAAGACGTATTTTTATGGGTGAAGCACTCAGAGTTCCCCAGAATATAAAATATCTTTAAAAGCCATTTTGAATGTGGAAAAGGTTTCCACATAGTCTGCTTTGTGGCACAGCGATGGGCGTGCTTTAGATGTCCAGGGTTCTGCAGGAATAGTTATCCTATGAAATTCCCCTGCAAATGGTCACTATTGCTCTGTACTATTTCCCAGTGGCCTCCTGAGAAATAAATGAATATATTTCTGGTTCTTTTTGTGCTTCCATCACCCTCTCACCCCGCCCCGCTGCCTCTTTCCCCTTTTCAGAATATTCTGCTGAGATGTAGCACCCTGAAATTGGGCAGCTCTGCTTACGCTATTGAATAAAAGGGAAACCTCTCTCTTTTAGACCTTTGGATTGGGGATCTGTGTGTTTACTAACATTATTCCCTTCCATGCTGGTTTCTCTGAGCTGTTCCACACCTTTACCCTTCTGCTGTTGTCTTCCTTGTCTTTATTATGTTACCCATAGAAAGCAGTGGGGTATGTAGTTAACTTATCAGAATTAGTGGAATGATTGGTTACTTTACATGATCTACCTGTGAACATACTACTTATTAGAATCCAGTATAGCCAGATGAACCGTGGGCCTATGTAACTATCTCAGCACTGCAGCTGTGCATTTTCT